TTTGTTTATAAGGTTTTCACGCATATCACTCATTAAATAAAACTAGTTTTAAGGGTTAATGCACGAACTTTATTTATTTATTAGCGTTCGGATATTCGAATATAACAATTCGGCTCAATAAAAGTCTTTCGAAGGTAGCTCGACAAAGTAAATAAAAAATCATTATTCTGACGATGCAGACATGAAAAGGCTGCGAAACATCAATAAATAAATGAAGTTCCTGCATTTACCCGTTAAAACTAGTTTTATTTATTAAATAATAGCTTAAATAAACAATTCAAAAAATAACCAAGCTCAGGATCGAACCATCTATCACTTGATGTCGACACCAAGGCAGTTACCGTTCGGCTGTCTATCTCTTGCAGAGAGTTAAAAAATTATTTCACATACCTTGTGTCAAATATATGACGACCTCTGCGGCCGAGTGGTTTGTACGCCGGATTTCATGGTGTCGCTGACTCGAGAGGTCCTGGGTTCGAATTCCTGTGGGTGGGTGATGTTTGTGTAAAGAATACGAGCATTTGTACTCCTGTCATGGATGTTTAATATGTGTATTTCTATATAAATATATATTTACAGATATGTATGCTACCCGTTACCCTAGTATCCTATAACACAAGCCTACAGTGCTTACTTTGGGGCTTCGCTAATTGGTGTGTTTATAAAACTGTCGCTTTTTCGTTTCATCGAGTTTCAAATCACAACGTTATTGGCATACTTCTGTCAAAGAGTAGATATATTATATACTTCTATAAATCATAATAATGTAATGATTAATTTATCATAAAACAAAACCTTTATAGCTTCCTTCCCTGTTTCTTTACATAAACTTTTATTATTCAAGATCTGAAATGCTTTTAAAGGAATGCAATACAAAGTTTTCCTCAACGAATTAATTAAAACTTTTTTATATCGCCAAATTTTTTTTCGTTAATCTTTAGCATGTCGTATTCTATTTTTATTGTTATTAAAAATATAGGCATTATAAACATGCGTCGTTGCGGTGGTTCAGTTGTGGGAAGGCCAAAGGGGAAGATCTTCCTCCGAGCTGGGTGATGGTAGCTCGGGGGCCGCGGCCCGACAGATTTTGGTCGGGCATCGTATTTATGGAGTGTTTGACTCCTAATTTCTCTTGCGCGATGTAGGCTTCCATACGTTGTGAACGCAGCGCCGGTAGCGCCATCTCTTAAGGAGGCGAGTGACTATTTCCTCTTTGTTCATTATATGTGGGGCTTTCTACTACTGTGTGGCGGTGACATCTATGTAGACGTGCTCGCCTACTGCGCGGGCGGCCCGGGGTGTATATGTTCTGTGGCCCGGGTTCGTTTCCCAGCCGAGGACTATTTTTATTAATGATTTTAAAAGTTTCACTTACATCGTGGTTGGTGGCAAAACCACACCAATTGTTTTTAAAAGCCGTTACTTTTTTCGACGTTATTCCTATACTGACTGTATCATAAGTCTCGAGCAATTATACGAAACCCTTTATGTGCCAGACGGATCGCACTTGACCGGTTTTTTCCTCACATGTCGAAAGTATTTCCGATGACAAGATGAGCACGTGTGGTGTGCTAACGACCTCGACGGAAGGTGGACTCGTTGATTCTGTAATTTATAGTGCGATTCAAACATGTTAGTTAGGAGCTCGATGGTGCAGGTGGTTAGCATGTTCGGCCTGCGATCGTGGAAGTTAAGCAACTTTCCCAATGGTCAGTCTTTGAATGGGTGACCAAAAATTATCTCGAAAACCTCTGTGCTTCGGAAGGCACGTTAGGCCGTTGGTCCCGGCTGCGTCTTTACACCCACCATTCTGCACTGGGCTTTTTTTCTGTTTACGCAGGCAAAACCTCGGTTTACAGACGACGGCGCCTTTGTGAGGCACACCGCCGAACGGACCTCACACCTGGGGGTCTACTCTCTTTATCCGAAAAGAACTTTCGACAACGAAGTTCAAACGAAATTTAATTTCTTCAATTTAAGGTTATACCTAATTTGAATGATAAACTATCAAATTGAAGCTTTCTTTGAGTAGCCTAAGAAAATCTACACCTCAATCTATATTCCGACGAATATTATTATAATTAAAAACGAACCCAAAACATAGTAAGAAAAGTTCGAAGTTTCGATCGAAATTTCGTTTTTCGTTGAATTAGAGTAGGTCTCCTGGCTCCCGCAAGTCTTACGGGCGCTTTACAGCATAATATCCGCTAAAAAAGTCCTGCGAATACCTTCTACACTGCTAGCATGTTCGGCCTGCGATCGTGGAAGTTAAGCAACTTTCGCAATGGTCAGTCATTGGATGGCTGACCAAAAACTTTTTTTCTCGAGCTCCTTCGGAAGGCACGTTAGGCCGTCAGTCCCGGCTGCGTCTGCGATCGTTAGCACCCATTTTGCACTGGGCCTGCGTGTTTTAGCCAGTAGTATTAAAATTTTATGTTTCCATAATACGAATTTCTTTAATTTTTTTATGTTAAATAGGTAGCTAACAAGCGTAAGGCCCGCCTGCCTGATATTAAGGGGCTACCATAGACTATATAGATTCTTGATCACTCGCACCGTTGCCTACCCTTTTTTTTTAACGGGGAGAATGCGTTTAAGCACCGTCCCCACACACTGGGCTAGTGAGCGGGGGTGTGTGGGACTCTACCGGCTAAAGAGATAGCCGGGAATACACCACTAAACACCCCGGGAACTTCGCCTTGCCAAAATTGAGCGGGCCACGAGCATGCGCAGGGCGCTGGCTCGTGTAGGCCTACGCGGCGATGCCCGCACAGTAGTCTGCGCGAGCTCATCTCCGTGCCAGAGGTATGGGGCATCCGCGTTCCGACGGACACCCCACCGTCGCAGGGGCCTGTACACTTAGATTAAAACAAAAAGGGTAGATACGGTACGCTCATACTTGCATCAAACAAAAACTGATGCCACGGCAGCGCGAACGGGACGGCGAGATCCGCGTCACTGCATTACCGACCCGAACGAAACAGCACGTTAAGTTTCAACGGCAGCGCGAACGAGACGGCGAGATCCGCGTCACTGCACTACCGACCAATCACGCGACCAGTACTCGACGTTACTACCGAATAAGATTAAAAACAAACAGCATTTTTTATGAAAAAATATTTTTCATAATACTTACGAATGAAAAGTGATGCCGTGGGTTTTATTTTTAGTTCTTGAGCAATTAGAGCACTTTTCAAAAACACACTTAGGCATTGTTTTATCATATAAACACAAAATATTAGCAATATTTCTTTTTGGCGTTCACATGTACGTCGTTTGCATGTCAAGTTGTGACTAAAGCGATAAGGGTCGTGGACCACAATTCATGCGGATCACTTTTGTGAGACTAGTGCCGTATGTACCCTTTTTGTTTTAATCTAAGCCTGTACAATGCGGGCTACTGGCGCCCAACCAATAGCCCGCAGACCCCCGCTAGGTCGACGTTTGCGCGAATGTTCTGGGGTCACCGCCCTGTCCTCGGGCGCCTCCTTCCAGGTGCGAGAGGGTCAGTCTCCCTCTCTCTCTCATTGGCCTCCTTGGCCGCCTTGACCGTCGCGCTAAAGTGGGCGACGGCATTCCAGGCTTCTCGCCTGGAACCGTTGCCTCCCTGACCCTATCTCCTACCCCGTGGAGCCTTTTTTTTTTATAACGAAAAAATCTTTTTATAGATGACGGCGCCTTTAAGAGGCACACCGCCGGACGGACCTCACACCTGGCTCCCGCAAGTCTTACGGACCCCCCAGTGGCTACCCACCGAGGACCCCGCAATCTTACGGGCGCTTTACAGCATAATATCCGCTAAAAAAGTCCTGCCACTGCTTAGTGCGGAGCCCCGTTAGGGATTCTACCACGGCTCCGCCCCCAGCAGCTTCCCTGCCTCGCCAGGGCTCCACGGCAGGGGTCTCCCGCGGTATTACGGGGACCCCGCAGAACTGCGCAGGTAGGCCCACGCGTGGGGGCTGGGTACGCGGCCTACTGCCCACCGTACCGGCCCCCATCCGCTGCGGAGGGGACTCCTGGACGTATCCGTCCAAGAACCCTCCTTTGTAGGACAGAACTACGAGTGGGAGGGCCGCGTAATTCTTCCCGTCCCTCCCTTCCCGTCCTCCGTGGAGCCCTAGAACCTTACTCACTGACAGAAACACAACACCACTAAAAGTTAGTATTATTTTACTGTGATTTTCTGTATGGTGGTGGTTACTTCCCCATAAGGGAGCTCCAATTCGAGCGGAAAATCCGCTATGCTCTCAGTACCTCTCTCGATTGGGATTAATGTTGATGTTACATTACCGTTTCAGGGCCGATTTATTCAAAACTCGGATAAAACTTACTGTACCCCTAAACCATTATCGAATTCGAATAGTTTGCAAACCGAAATGTCAATGTCAAATTTTGTATGGAGATTTGAACAGCAGCGGCTCAACGTACGTAACGAGAACTAAAAAAAAAAATGGTTGCCTGTAAAGTCGGTTTTACGGGCGAAGATTTTACGTGACAACGTCTTTTTCTCGGTAGAATATTTATTGATATGAATATAATTAAATTGCACAATAGGAACAAGGAATTGAATGAAAATAAGAATTGCACAAATTTTAACTATAGAAATATATTTTGTTTACTAAAACATTGTACATGTAAACTTAAACTTAACACGAGAGACTCATCGTAACGTTACCGAGCGTTACACTTTTTCATAAGTGACTCCCAGCCGCAACCTAATTTAAGACGTTGTCACGTCAAAATCAGTACACATTTGACAATGACATTTCGGACTCGCAAACGATACGAATATTTTATTCGATGTTGGTTATATTGGTTAGTGCTAGGGGTACTGTTCAATAAATTAATACTCAATCAAATAGAGACAGATGTCATCCGTCACATTACACCAGTTGACACAAGTCAACTCCTTATTTTGTCCGTATAATACGATATCAGAAAGATACATTTTATCCAGTGTTCGAGAAATCAGCCATCAAAAAATTAGGAAAAATGGGATAGCTGTTAATGTCAAAAATAAAAAATGAGGTCAAATGAAATAAAACAAAATAATATAATTGTAATGATTTGGTTTAATACAACACTAATTAAGTATAATTTACAATAAATGTATTCATGTCGCTTTGTGTGATTAAAAATATGCGTAGCTGTTTAACTTGGTGAAGAATGTATTTTTTATGGAACTTGCCAGTTTAAAAATTGTGCAAAATTGTAATAGTAATTACTATTAAATAAACGTGTCAAAAAATAACATCGTATTTTAAGTAAAATTATACATACATACTGGCTCATCATAAAACAATTTAATGATTAATATAACAGAATTAAAAAAATACACTTTTCTCAAAATATTCGCTAATTGATTAAAAAATCCAACAATCCTTTTTGATTTACCACGATATTTAACTTTAAATCAATTCCATTGGTTATAACAAATTGTATTTCTGTTAGTAATTGAAAAAACTCTTTAGAAGTTGTACTTAATAATTTAACATAATAAAATATTCTTTAGAATGAGCAAAATTTTAAAAGGTATTATTATAAAAAAAAAATATTATACAGACACAAAGTGGAAAAATTAATCTGCTTTGGTTAATTAATAACTTGAGTTTTTTTTTTAAATCACGATCACATAAGTATGTTTCACAAAACACAGAAAGTTTGTAAGTAGATAGAATTTAGGCGGTATTTTAACATTGTTGTTTATGATTTGTAATTTAGACAGTAAAATTAAATATAAACCAATAAATTTGAAAGTTTGTAAATCACTGTTCAAACATGTTGATGGCGATGAAATTTCTGTCATTATAACTATTTTACATTTTAGGTATTATTATTGCAATTTAGGTATACATTTATTATTTTATTACCAATCATAATTACTAGCATTACAAGTTATACATACATACTTGTGATATGATTAGGTTGACCCTTTTAAATTTATATTATTAATTTACTTTTATCGGAATTCAAAACAAACTATTCATTATTTTAATTATAATTCATAAATGCTATATTTGAAAATGCAAATATTATTTTTGTAATAAACATAACCTCGACAGACATAAGGTACAATAGTCATTACATCAAGCATAACATCGTCATTTTCAGGTGTTTAAAAATTTTAGCCGTGAAACAATATTGTTATGCTTGTTATTTTGATCACAGTAAAGTGAAAATTTTCATTACTACTAAGTTTTCTAAATTCTCTACAACATGAACGATTTAATATGCAATAGTTATATTTAATAAGTAAACGTTTACACACGTCTAAATTTACCAAATTTCTTTTAAAGAATTTACAATTCGTGATAAATATTTACAATTCTAGTCTTACACTAAAAAAAAATAAAAAAAGCAATTCCATGGAATCAATTACAAAAACTAAAAAAAAATCGCCGCCATCGTAATCTATGGCACTCTGAAACGTCGAAAAATATATCTTTTTTTCTATTTAAATCATTAAAAAATAAGCTTATAATCAGATCATTAATAAACTTGACACAGAAATCACAAATCAGCTATTTTAAACGAACTCTTTTATTATTAAATTCATTTCATTACATCGAATAGAAAGAAAACAACTTTTCGCGAGATCTACGTATTGCAAAATACAGAAGAAAATGAAATTTCAAATATTATGGCAATAAAGTGGAAATTAAAACAACGCTAAGCGCAAATTCCACTATAAATACCTTCACGTGTCCACATGAAATAAACTACTTATTGTTCTAGTATTTTTTTTTACACTTCGACGATTAAATATTTTTAAATATTGATATGGACCTTTTAAGGTTAAACATCGTTGAACGCCGGTCAGATGGCGTAATTCGTTTTCAACTACAAAATTCCTAACACTTAACGCACTATGCCTATAATATAATTATGAAAACACTGCAGCTACCGACTTACCATTTATAATCAGAACCTAGAAACGAGAAACATAAAACCTATAATACTTCCATATCCCGTTAAAACCGGGTCAGATTAAAACAAAAAAATGGCCTTAAACTCTAACTTACAATTCCTCATTTCGAGATCGTCCACGTCATATGTAAAAACTCCAACAGTGAACACATTACATTCTAAACACCGCACTAATAACCTGAAATAGATCTACACCCGTAAATGTAAAACTGCATTACATACTGTTATCGATTACGCTAAACACTAAGCAAATTAATTGTCAATAAGTACTTCAGCAGAACAATTTATTATTATTTTTCACTGCGCTTTGGGTAACAATGTCATTGGCTACAATAAACACTTGTATCACTCGATCGGAAATCAGAACACACAAGAGGATTCACTTTTGCGATCGGATTTTATGCTGACTCACTTTCTTGATCACTTGAAAACTGACTCACTTTACAGTAGAATAGTAAAAGTACTCACTCTTTTGCCTCAATTTGCAGCTGGATAGTAAAATTACTCACTTTTGCTTGATTTTAAACGGATCCCATATTCGTTTATTTGTCAGATCTTTGCTCGTTAAGTGATAGGTTTTCGGCTTCGTCCTTGATGTGAGATATCGAGGGACGGTAGCGGTCTTCGGAGCGAGGGTAGTCGTCGTACGGGCTGGTTTCGCCGGATCTGATGCTCGAAGACTCTTTGTTTGAATTCGAGTAATCACCTGTGATTTGAAAAAGTTATTCATTAGGACGAAATAGTATTTTGAAAATACAACTTCGTTCGACGACATTTTGTTTTTAATTTATAGCTAGGTAGGCAAATGACTCTACCCCACCTGATATGTGTAATGGGTATTTATATGAGTTGATCAGACAGAGCACTTTTTATGCGCAGCGAAATTTACGTTATCCGTCAAACAGAGAGACGACTCTTTGCGCGAAGAAAGGGTCAAGCGCGTATTCCACCTGACTAAATTCAGACGTCCAACGTCATTGAGTTACTAATTCAGTAAAAAAAAATTGCATTTAGGAAGTTAGGATCCTAATTAGCAATCTAAATCGGAAGTAGTGTGGCTTCTGATTGACTAAATCATTTAGTATCCTAATTAGAACACGATTTAGTAAGGTGTAATAGGGTTAAAATGGTTTAGTCACACAGCAGGCGTCACTGCGTGAAGACGTTTTTGTGTCTACGATTACGAATTACGTGAGTGTGCGATGTCGGCGGTAAAAGAAAAAGAAGTTATAAGTAACATAATCGAATTTTATAAATTTTATTTTATAAGTATCTATGGAACAAAAACGATAAAAATAACATTAATAATATTAATATTCTTTCACCCACGTTTTTCGTTTTTTACTTTCTTCTCTTATTATTGAACCAACGGCCAGGCCTACGAGAAGATTGTTTTTTTGTTGCTTTGACAGGACTGGAGCCATTACGAAAAAGTCCGACTGAATTCGCCGCGCGCTTTGTAACTGACTGAATCAGTAACTAAATTAGTCGAGTGTAATCAGAAGCTTCTAATTAGCTTTCTTTTTAGGATCCTAACTAGGACGTCTGAATTTAGTCAGGTGGAATACGCGCTTTTAGCCCCTTTTTACCGTCCTTGTCTCTACTTGTTAATCATCAATATATATAAAACATCCATATGTTTTATATATATTCCTATATAAATATACTTATACATATATGTACATTATATGTATTCTATCCGCTACTCTAGCATCCCATAACACAAGCCTTACAGTGCTTACTTTGGGGCTAGGCTGATAGGTGTGAGTGTTAGAAATATTTATTATTTATTTATTTTTAAATGTGCTATATGTTAAGCAATACATTTTCACATACCCTTGTTAGAGTAGTCAGAGGCTTGCATCTCGTTCTTGAGAGCGTATATGTTAGGCTTGATATCCTGGGCCTCGCTGGCGCTCAGGTCTTCTGCTTTCACTTCATGGGACGTACTGCTGTTGCCGTAACCGTTCATTATTGGTGCTCTGCTGTGAAATAATAAAGAAAAAATCAATAATTAAATATATTGCTTAAATCATGCTTTATACCTTTATAACTAGCGAAAAGGAGAGACCCCTGTCAAGTTGCCAAATAGCAAGCGCGAATAATCAAATAAAATGCCTGGATGCGCCATAGGTGTTGGCACCATGATTATTCGTATTTGCCTTTTTGTAATGTTTGTCAAGTAATCGGCATGTGTGGATAGTATGTTTGATCTTCAAGGTTTGACCAAACATTTGCTTTATTGCTAGAACAATATGTCGATGCTTTATTGACACATTTGACAAATAGGACAATATGATCATTGGTGTTGATTCTTTCATGATTCTAAGATTGGAGATGCTATTGTCAAATCTAAAGCATTCGGTCGCCAGACATGAGAACCAACTGTTGTCACAGAGTGTCAAATTTGTTTCATATTAAATATATTGAAAACCTCCACAGTGAGCCTTTTAGTTTAATATCGGTACAGTTAGCTTAATTTTAATTTTCTAGTTTACCCCCGTAAAGTAACCCCCACATTCGAAAATTGATTTATTTTGTTCGTCCGTGTTTGGATCACAGACATGCCTATTGTATGTAACTTGATTGGTCGACTGTGACAGACGGACAACTGAGTTATCCTATAAGGTTTCCGCTTTTGTCGATTGAGGTACGGAACCCTAAAATAAATAAGAAATAAAATTGTTTTTAAGCATTTAACTGCTAGATGTTTGAATCTTAAGAAAATTTTACTAGAAGTGTATTATTATCTTTTGTTCCATATACCTAATTTGAATATATTAATCTGATTGTAATTTTTGCACGAATACTACATTGCTCATTGCGTTACTACAAAATTCCAAAACTCTACAGTCGATTTCGATGTACACATGCAGTACTAAGGTTTTAAGTCGTCAGTTTTGTTAAAAATTAAGAGGTGTTGTATCCAAAACACCAATAATAATATGTTGATTTTATAAAAAACAAATCATTATGCATGTGGAAAATTATAAACATAACAATATCGTGCAAGGAAAAATTCTTAAATTCTTAAGAGTAATGGGAATACATTACTTCTAAACTTACTTGTAATCATCGTGCGAAGATGGATAATCTTCCGTCTGCATCATATGATCGTCATTTGACATGTACGACAGGTTGCAGTCTTCCATCATGCCCTGCGCACAATATTTATTCATTATATTATTCAGATGAAAAAGTTAAATACTACTAGCTGAACCAGCGAACTTCGTTTCGTAGAAGCGAACATTTAGGGTTGTATGTATTTTTAATACCACATTATAAAAAAATAAATATTGTCCAAAAATAATTTTAGGGGTGTATAACCAACGTAGTGTTCTATCAATTTCCTGGGATAACATTCCTCCTAACCCATATGAGAATACTACGTTACAATAAATACCCAATAGTTTGAATTTTGGCACAAAACCGCATTGTGAGTTTCAGAACACTACGTTACAGGTGGACAACCATTATCATTTAAAAATATGAAAAATAGATAATAGCCGATTCTCAGACCCACAGAATATGCATATAAAATTTCATAAAAATCGGTCACGCCGTTTCGGAGGAGTATGGCAACTAACATTGTGACACGAGAATTTTATATATAAGATTAGTTTTACTCAAAAGGTATTATGCAATACACATTTGTTCAAAAATGCTTTTATTATATATAGTTGTATATATTGTTAGAAAGTTCAAAATTACGGACCATACACTGAACACTCCCATATATGGCGCCGTGCGTATCCTTTATGTTTTTTTTAAATTTTTATCGAACCTTCTTGGAAGAGCTTTTAATTTACAATTTTGTTTCACTCTAATACTAAAAAGAAGTTGCTCCATTTTCTTATTAATAAAAATGAAGCAATCATTACTTAAACATTCAACTGTTTACTCGCAAATGTGTTGAATATTGTTGTTTAACATTCGTGCGGAATTGATATTCACAACCTCGAGTCTATGGTAAGCCCTCGATTTGTCCCGGGCTGACATTCATCTACTCGTTTGTAATAACCAACTTACCGCACTAATATCATAAATAACTATTACCTGAAGATTCCGTTTCAGAGCTTCGCTGTATCCATGAGGGCTGGTCATCATTGGCGGACTTTGAGCTCCCATAAATCTATTGACGGAAATAAAATAAAATTGTAAAATTGGCTCTTCTTATCAGAAACTATTATAATGAAGCTAGCTTTTCTTTCTTTTATAGTAACCTTTAATTTTTATGATTCAATAAGAATCATTGAATTGTAATTGAATATTAATTATTTATGATTTTCATTTTCATTTCAATATGAAATAGTGATGATTCTCAATAACAAAATATAAAATAAAAAATCATACCCCGGTCACAACAAACCCTTCTTTTATAAACGTGTAAACCATTACTTTTATTACTAATGGTAAATATTGTTTGTGTATCATGTGAAGTGTAAAATTTTGAATGATAGTCCAATTCGTCTGTAAGAGTGATTTACGTGTAAGTACATGTAATGTAGGTGAGTGAAAGAGAAAGATAAATAGAATAAAATAGAATAAAAAAGGCAAGCTTAGTAAAAAGTGTTAGAAAAATCTTTTAATTCTACCATGCTACGAAAATGCAACATGCAAAGCCTCAAGCGAAGACTTACCTTAGATTTAAAAAGTATACAGGATAAAACATGCAAATGTAAGATGGGAGTAAATAAACAGTTTAAAAATTAACATATAGAAGATCTCTTTGTCTTACTTGGGTATCCAACGACGATCCTTCTTTACAATCATTTATTAACACATGCATTCATAAATCGGTAAACATGGTCGCAGTTATTCGATATAGCTTATGGATATCGTCAAATATAAATTAAAAATATTAAAAGTTACACTAGCAACATATTATGTATGGATTAAGCTAATTTATTAAACAAATCGTATTATATTGTGATGTTAAAACTATAGCAAAACAATCGGTTATAGCTTTGCACTCTAAGAGTCTAAACTAGTTGTATTTTATTTTTGAAAATGTGTACTTAGATTATGCAGATGACATGGTCATTAAGTTTTACAACTTTAGTCACATTTTCAGAAAGTTAATTATGCATAAGTACGCATTTCCTCGATAATATATTATAACAGTCACGTGATTCTAGTTACACTCTAACATGACATGTTGAAAATAATCTAAGCTTACACAGTGAGACACTTTACAATATAATGGTCAGAAACATCAATCTAATGTGTGTAATCGAGAATTATCCAGTTTTGTAAATTTTAATAACGATAATCGTCGATCAGCTTAAATACAAAGATACTGTATTATGGACGCGATCGTCCAACGATTCCCAGTGCTAATTACAATTAAATTTTACTAGCAAAATTGTCACGATTTTCTGTGATAGATACCAAAAAGTTTATAGAACAATTTTTCGAGACAGGACAACGACATATAAATATTAACGTTCTTTATTTCTTAGAAACACCTACAAATTCAACGTCGCCAAAACTACCTTTTCAAAGAAAGAAATATAAGAAGCTTTTTCACTCAATATGATTGCAAACGTTACGTTTTTAATTACAATGCGGAATCACTGAGTTAAATGCTGATGAGTTTCTTGCGCCCATTCTTCTCATCAGCTAAAAGATATCCTCAATTAGTGGTAGGAAAAAATATTGGACGATATAAAAGACCTTTCTATAAGTCAATTTGAATAGAATATAATTTCATTTCGTAAGGAGTTAGTTTTGTCAACGTTTCCTCTGAATGTTGTTTTGTCAACGTTAAGAGGCTTAGAACGCGTGAAGGCGGACAACAGATTCGTTGGACGGTCGCAGCGGTGGATCTGCTGCGCCCTTACTGTGGGGGGGCGTTGGGCGGCGGCTCATACTTGCGCGGGCGGCCGCGGCTCAGGTGGCGTCTCTTCACGAACTCCGCGTCGTCCACCATCCAGAAGGAGCCGAAGTCGTCCTCATACCGCACGAAACATTTGTGAAGAGACAGGTTCGTCCGGATCGCATTCTATAATTCATCCCCATTTAATATCTATATTGACATTGTGTATTCTGCGATTAGTTTATCGAAAACGAGACTAAGATTTGTGCTTTCATAACCTTAGTCTTTGTTGATGATTTAGAATGATTCAATGAGAGATTTAATATACGGGACTAGGTATGAAAGCACAATCAGATCGTCGTGGAGGTACATCATCAATGATTTGACATGCAGGAATCGATGGCCCAAGAAGACAGACCCGAGGAAAGGACTTAAAGATAGGAGCGAGGTTAATAGGCAAGCGAGTAAAACGTTATTCACCGTTGCGCTGAAATTCACGTACACACACATAAAACGAGACCTAAATACGAAAAAATACAGGACTTCACATTACGTAACGGCACAAACGTCAATTTTGCGAAGTAGACTCTTTGTGGCGTTACTTACAAAAGTCAATTCAAAAACCCACTACACAAATAATTACAAATCCAAATCTGAAACGAGATAAAACGTTTATTTACGCAATAAGAGTTAGATACGTCGCTAGGTTAGATAGAAAATATTTAAGAGAAGATTAAAATATTGAATTTTGAAATATGTGTAGTGTCATATCTGTTATTATGTTAGTATTTGTGAAGTGTAATAATTGATGATGTTAATATAGTCATTATTATTTTAGATTTTACAATGATACGGTTTTTTTTTAAAACAAAGTCTCGATTTCTTGGTAAATATTTCATAACGAATTTAGTTGAATCCCAGTTAATTTATAGTTTTAACACAATTTAAGAATTTTGAAATAAGTTTAAGTGTTTGTGTATACATTTAGCTTTAGATTCATTAGCTAACTACATACATGTAAAGTCTTCAATATATTTATTTAAAATTTCAGAGCTAATATTGATAGCCTAAGGACAATCATTTCTTAAAAAATATTGAATAACTTTGTTTTGCCTTGTGTGATAAGTGTTGAAAATTCTGATAGTTCAGAATATAGTACACTGGTATGGTCTACAGCATTATAAAGCATTAGCTCGTTAATTAAGCCTTATTTTTAGAAGACTTTGATAGTAAGTTTTTTCAACTTTTGTTGGTAATGTTGGTGTGGTTGTGGAAGTATTTTTGATTAAGTGAAGTGTTTAAGTGGATTTCTTTAAAGTCATGTACATTGTGAATATTTTAGGCTGTTAATATTTATTAGTTGTGTTGTAGTAGACCTAGTTCAATATTGCTTATTGTATAGTAATTAGGATGTCGTGTTGTATGTGTGTAGTCAGTGTGTTACAATCGATAAAAGACATCAACAATACACATAATGTGTGTATCTAAATACACATATTGTGTATTGTTCATAAGTGATTCTGGATAGAAATAGATGACTAGATATTAATTGAATGTATCCCATCATGCAGTAGATTAGTAGCCTTTTCCATGTATTGTTAATAATTTAAGTAATATGTTAATTGTAATCCTAATGTTTAGGATTAGATGCCATATTCAAAGAGATTGTCAAAGTATTGTAGTCGTAACATTAGCTATGTATTATTAAGCAGTAAGTCGTATCATGTATTGTACTATTGATGAGTGCATATTTTTTGTTTGTGTAATTTGAAGTTAGTTTTGTGTTCTTGAGGCGTGTCGATTCGTTAGTGATGCTTTTGAGTGTAGTTGGTGGTTTTTAATCGAATAAAGTATAGTTTAAGCCGGTAGTAGAGTTTTCTGTATATTTTGAAATGTGTAGCTTGTATAGTATATGGGTACTGTATAATTATTTTATTTTTGTTATTTCAGTTCTTTGTAATGTTAGTGTCGATAGTGTTAGAAGAACAGGGTGAGTGAAATAAGAGGTGGGTGGTGGTCTTATTTTAGTGTGAATAATCTGTACCCTTAGCATGAACCAATATCAAATTCGAATAGTATGCAAGTCCGAAACGTAAATATGTACTGATTTTTAGTTTTCGTTACGTCCGTTATAACGGTGCTGTTCAAATTGCCATACAAAATTCGACAATCACATTTCGTACTCGCAAACTATTCAAATTCGATATTGGTTCGTGCAAGGGGTACTGGAGCATCACGATGTCTAATGTTACTAAGGATAATATGTCAGTAAAAGTGTAAATGCGATGAATGGCGGGTGTGGTATGAGCAGTACCCGATTTTTCTGTAATTTATGTTATTGTCTACAGTGTAATTGTATCTGATGTTAATGTAGAAAGTATTTAAGTAAATCATGTTAGTATTGATGTGTTACGTAACGCTGTTTTGTGTTATTGTTGATTGTTTGTAACATCGTCTTATGTTATTTTAGACAATGTCTATTGTTGTAAGGGGGTGTTACGGGTAGTATCTAGTTGTTCTGTAGTTTATCTGTAATATTAGTGCTCGTAGTCTGTAGTGTAAATGTTAAAGTATCCAATTCGTCTGATGTTAGTGAATGTGTATATAAAGAGTGGTGTAATGGTGTCTTATATAATAATGTTAGCTTTAATAGTCTCTAGTATAACGTTGTCTTATGTTAGTGCACCTAATTTACAATAGTGTTAAGTGTAGTCAGTGACGGGTTGTGGTGTGGGCAGTACCTGGTCGTTCTGTACTTTATGTGTAACCGTTTTCAGTGCAGTGATCTGTGCGGTGGGGGAGACTTAGTTTCTTCATGCTTTGTGTAATTTTAGTATTGGTAGTCTGGGGTGCAACAGTGTCTTATGTTAATCTTGATAGTGGCTTATACTAGTGTAGATAATTTGTATCAGTGTGTAATGTAATCATTGGACGGTTGTGGTGCGTAATCGTGATGGATGTTTTGAACTTTATGTCTAAGTAACTATGTCTAGTGTGGTAGGGTGAGTATTAGTGTAAAAGGTAGTGAGTGGAAGTAGTGTAGCGCGCAGTATCCGTTTGTTATGTATTTTATGTGTTGGTAACAGCGTCTAGTGTAGTGAGTAAGGATGGCAGGGTGGTGCGGGCTGTCGATATTATTGAGTTTTCTATTTTAGTGTCAACAGAGTCTAGTACATTAAATGGGAGTCTAGTAGGTATATTCAATTAGTGGGACAGTGAGTTGAGATAGTGTCGCGCGCAATACTCGGTTGTTCTGTACTTTATGTATTAGTAACAATGTCTAGTTTAGTGAGTGGGGGTGAGGGCTGTTGATTGTTGAGTGTAAGCTGGTGAGTACCGGTAGCGTCGCGCATAGTACATGAGTGGGGCGGTGCTTGTGTAGTTTAAGGTTATAGAGTGATACGGGCTGTTGATTGTCTTTAGTGTCAAAGTTTCTTGTATAGTGAGTGTAGAGTGACAGGGTGGTGTGGTAGTGTTTTTGTAGGTTGCATGAGTGTGCACGTCAGTCAGTAGATATTAGTGTAAATGTTATTTAGTGTCGTTAGTCTATGGTGTAATTGTATTAATTTGTAGTGTGGTCAGTAGAGGTATCGTCCCGGCTTGTACCCGGGTGGTAAGTAGGTATTGTATATTTATATGTAATGTTAGTGTCAATGATATTTAGTGTCGGTAGTCTATTGTGTTATTGTTGTAACATGTGTGGAGGTAGCGTCGTGTAAAGCGTGTTTTCTCATGTTAGTGTAGACAGTGTGATGTGTAGGATGGTCAGTAGAGGTATCGTCACTGCTTGTACCCGGGCGTATGAGGCGCTTGCAGTTAGTGTCAATATTGCCTGTATAGTAAGTGGGAGTGACAATGTGCTATGTCAGTGTGATTTGTAACAGTGTGTAGGGTGGTCAATAAAGGTATCGTCGCGGCTTGTACCCGGGCGCGTGCGGCGGCGGCGCGTGCGCTGCGCGCTGCGGGCGGCGCTTGTAGAACTCGACCTCGTCGACGGTCCACACGGCGCCCTTCACGTTCTCCACGCGCATGAAGCACTTGTGCAGTGACAGGTTGTGACGCACCGCGTTCTGTTCCACAGCGTACTAACCGAGCTATTTATATGGTCGCGCGAATGTCTTTTGTTTTCTTCGTATTCTAAATACGATTTTATATAGGTATACATAAAGCTTATTCAAAGACATAAAGCTTCTATACTGTTATCAGCGACTGTCTTTTGTTTTGTTTTTGAATTCGTATTCTAAATACCATTCGATATGATGTACTATAAAGCTACTATGAAGACTCTTATCGAACCTGTGAGGCGTTGTTAGTGTCCTCTATTTTTCATATTCTAATACCCAGTTTCTGAAAGGTTATTCAGCGACAAAGTTAACTAATAAGCTGCTAAATGTTAACAGTCAATTGACTTGCTGGAAGCTTAATCAAATAATCGCTGTGTCAGTTAACAGAGCTGTCGAATTTAGTTCAAAAATAGTTATGGCAAGTGCAATTCCTGGTGTCAAATTTTTCAATCTAATATTCGTTTCAGAAACTCGAATTGATTTAACACATGGTGATTTGAAAAAGCTTTCAGAAACCGGGTGTAGAAATGATACTTTGATGCTTAATTGTGCATTTAATATATTATGAGGCTACTATAAAGATTGTCATCGACCCTGTCGGGGCGTAGTAAATTTAAAAAAATATTAAATCATTATTATTTTTTAGTCTAAATATCATTCCTGTAAATTTAGAATACACATATTGTATGACGATTAACTATGGATATTAAAAAATGCATTAGACAGACCCATATATTTAAAGATACAATAATTAAACGTTGACATAAAATTATAACGTCAAATAGTGAATCGTCATAATACAGTGGTTAAAAGTCACTTGTACTATTGATTTTACTTTAAAAACCAATAAATGAGATATTGTGTCAGCTGAAATCTCCTGTTCTTCGAAACCTTATTTTCACATTTAGCGATAAAAATCTAAAAGTTTGTTTAATGAATATCAAAAGTTACTAAACAAGTTCGGTGATTATACAAAGTTCAGTAGATTTCAGGCATACCAATAACTAGACTAATAACTTAACAAGTAAACCTTTTCATTTACCTTCCATTCATCGTGTGTCAAGATAAAAACTGTTCGTAAATTAAAAGCATTAAGTTCAATTTGCACACTATCTTTTTTGTAAGTCATAATTGTTTAGTTGTCTTTAATCTTGAAGAGTTCTTTGTTAAATACGTATAATAAATATTTAAACAAGTTGCTGTGACAACTGTGACGATACCAAGATGGCACGTGTAACAAAGTATCAGTGAGAATTCATATAGGTTATTTATTTAGGAAAAACTTTATCACAAGACTGAGTTTAATAACATTTTTCTAAATATGACGTTACTGTCAGAAAATTATCACTTCGTCTATACTTTTCTATTAATTATCAAAGGAGGCAAGTACATTTCAATTAACAATGTGGTGATTGCATTTTAAGCTAAAACGTACCTTCCATGTTGCAGCGTTGCGCCTGAAGTAGCAGAAAGTGGACTGGAACCAATTGTATATTTCATTGAGCGTGAGTTGCTTATCAGGAGATTCTATGATTGCCTGAAAAAGAAAAAGGAAACATCAATTTAATTAAATATAAAGAGTTAATAGCATTAGTCATAATAAGATTTGTCATCATATAATATAATCTTGTAAATTTAGTCCTTTAATTAATAATAGTAAATATTTCCCACACTCATACCAATTGGCCCAACCCCAAAGTAAGCATTGTAAGGTTTGTGTTATGGAATACTAGGGTAACGGATAGAATTCATATACTAAAATATATATATATATATATATAAGTATATTTTCCCGACAATTAATAGTCATATATCCATGACAAAGGTGCAAATGCTTGTATTCATTATATTAACATTACATTATTACCTCTGAGTAGGCAACGTCATCAAACTCGGCGTATTTACTACTCGGCCACGGAGGAGGAAATGATGAAGAAATTTGGTCCCCAATAGTCAACCCTCAAAAACACTCGGAGAGTTCTATCAAAACTAATACTAAGCCTAATCATAATGAAAATATTTTATACTTAAAGAATATATCTGCTCAAAATTACTGTCTTATCATAGTTTGAAGATAATTATGATATTTACCAACATTCTAAGCATCAACGAGTTTATCAAAGGCATTAGTTGAATCAAAATAAGAACATACCTGCCGAATTAATGACGCATACGTGAATGGAGGTCGTACGTCTGCTGATTTGTAGAATTCACGATTGCGTTGAATCTCTGTAAAGAAATAACATTTGAACGTAATTAGTGAGTTTTGATAAAGTTAAAACATAATACGGAAAGAACAGTATAAAAAGTAATCAAATATTTTTGTGAACCATATTACCTTGCTGAACATCTAATCCAGCTCTTTCGAGCATGTAAGGCAGACCTTGTTAAAACGTAAAGGTTTATATTAATCAAATGAAGAATCTTAAAAGTTATATCCAAAATATTTATAGATGATCTATTTAGTTAGATGGATTTAGTGTAAGAATTTTGTATTTTTGTCAGGAAATCTATCAAGTGTAGTATTGCCTCGAGATTTTTCGTAAAATTGGTAAATTTACCTCCTGCGATAGCCACGCCCGACTTGTCTGAGACTCGACGACGCACTGGACCAGGAGAAGCACCCTCGCTTGCACCACCTCAATAACAAAAAAGAAGAAAATTAAGTACAAGCCAAACTAGAGAATATAACTGCGATCAATATGTCACTAGCCTTTTATTCATTGTTGACTTAAGAGGTCCGTCTTTATTCTAACTCCGTCATTTAGGTTTTTGTCAGTTTTAAACGGCAATTTTGTGAGTTTAACTAGAATCCTGTGATTCCACAATGTGATGCATTAAAAAAAGAGAATAAAAAAAGTTTACTACTTCATATGACCACTACGTTCTGCATTAAAGTTACTATGGGCGTGGTTGGGCACGCGGTGGTTTGTCGGGCACCAGGTGCAGATACGCCAAGTACTGACCTTCTTCGCACCATCATTATCAGCTTCATGATCCACCACGCGGGCCCAGTGTGGATTGGTGGGAAGTAACGACTGAAGATGCAGCTGGAGCTGACGGCTTAACATACCTTCCGAAGCACAGAGGAGTTCGAGATAGTAAGTTTTTGTTTACCCTTTCAATAACCGCAGACTGAACGCTATCTACCTGCGCCATAGAGCTTCTTCATGTATTCTTAAATTTCCTGTTCCCTGTTTTACTGAAGTTGTGAGACACGATAAGCTGGATCTTTATCCTGTCTGATGACTAGAGCGAGCGGATTTTCTTATGTAGTAAAAATGTCTTTAAACGCATTAAGTTCTTCATTAGATCTGTTACCATGAGCGTTTTTTGTTGCATGATGATTGCCTGATGCAGATATCGCTAATGGCGGCAAGGCAGTCTTACTGAAAGAGGTTCTGACCCTCACGGCTTTCTTCGTATATCCTTCCATTTTTCTTCCGACGGTTTTGCCGAAGAAAAGAGTCTATTCAGAGACACAGCTGATTATAGATAGTATCGGATTTCAGTATTTGTTACCATGTATGTTCGCCTCGCTGTCATATCGCATAATCGCAGCAAAGCTGTCGCGCTCTCGTCTCAGCTGCGTCTCTAGCAAAGTGACTGATCTTCTTCGTGAATCCATCCATTTTCCTTTCGACAGTTTTACCGTAGAAGTGAGTCATGATAAGCTGTTTACTACTATTAACTACTTCATAGTTCATACCGTGCGTGTGATTTGGTTGTGGTGATTATCTCGCGCCAATTGTAGACGTCGCATCATAGCGGCGAGGCAGTCTTGCTGCAGGAAGTAGGTACTGACCCTTCCGAATTCCTTCGTATATCCTTAATTTTTTCTTTCGACAGTTTAGCCGAGGTGGAGATTCTCGATTCAGAGAGAGAGGCACAGCGTTATACGTTTTTTATAAGAATTTAGATCATGTTGGATTTGGGTAAGGAATCAAAATTCGTGATCCAGAAAGGTTGGAAAAGAAAGGTGTTGGTGAGAATAAGAGTTCAGGGGTAAACACAAGATCTAAGAAGGTTTTTAGTAAAAAAAGCAATAACGTATATATTTCTTTGTCGTTCTATTCGTAAGTGGAATTCTATGACCGCGCACGTGCGCCTCCCTCCTTCCTACCATCTGGGGTCCTTTAAGAGAGGCGTGAAGAAGCTTTTTTGCAAGCCGGCAAAGTGAGGATGGTTGGTGTGGCAGTTTATAACTGCTGTACCAACTATCTTCGCGTTTGGACTTTATCGCCACTTAACATCAGGTGGAGTAAAATCATTTGCCTACCTACTACTACTAATAACAATTTTGTCAGGATAACACAGCATGAAATTTTTATACCGTGTGCGTGTTTAGGTGCGTGATGGTTGTCTCGCGCCTGATGCAGGTGTCGCATCATGGCGGCGAGGCGGTCGCGCTCGCGTCGCAACTGAAGTTCCAGTTGTGCGACCACTTGCATTTGAACGCGTGCTTGCGCTGCGGATCGGTCGTCTAGCGTGTGGGCTGCTTCTAGGTGCCTAGTGGTAAATTCAAACATTATCATTTATTGCGAGCTTAGATTAAAACAAAAAGGAAAGATACGGTACGCTCATAATAGCATCAATTAAATTATGCTCCGACTCAACTAAATAAGCAAATCTCACATACGCAAACGTCTGTAAATAAACATTCAATCGAGCGAACGAGACAGAACTGTACGCTTCAACACAGCGCAAGCGAAACGGCGAGAACGCGTCCGAGTCCGCACGGCTGAGCTGTATTTTGGTCTATTTCTTGATAAGAAAATGGCGATTACGTAAATAAAATTCACGATAAACCGTGAATCTGAGATAAAAATGTTTTTACAGTTTTATGAAAGAAAAGTGTTGCTGAGGCATTTGTTATTCGATTTTGATCTATTAAAACTAGTATTCTTTATGAAAGCATCAAAGGCATTTTTTCATCTTTATAACACAGAATAAATGCAATAATGTTATATTGAGTGTACATGCAGCGTGTATGAATGTCCAATTGTGACTAAGGCGAATTGTGGTCATGCACCACAATGTAATCGGATCACTTTTGAGCTGCAAGTGCCGTATCTTCCCTTTTCGTTTTAATCTTAGATTGCGAGTCATTATTTGCCTATTAATGTCCCCATTGTTGGGGCACAATATCTAACTACATTATTTTATAACCATGAGGAAATTGGTGAACGAAATTATTTTTGTAAATAATTTGTTTAATCTTAGGAAACAAGTAAGTCGAAATTATAGGACAATATGATAGATTTTTAAATCTAAAGAAAATGTTGCTAGAAAAAAATCCACGCGGACCAGTTAGCAGACGGGATTCGAACCCTTCGCTATGCGTATTCGCCCGAATTTATAGTAAATGTAACTATAATAGATTTTTTTGATGCAAAGCGTAGGCGGAGTCCAAATAGTAAAATTGCTGATGCGAGTGCACTGGTCATCATCATGGAGTTTTGGCGCCTAATTAAAGGGAGAATTCCTAACACAAACGAAATTGAATTTTTCTCTTATCACTATATCGAACAGCTTTTGTGTTCCTGACTCTGTTTATTTTTATGACTTACTTGAGAAAGGCTTGATAGTCCTCGGCCAGAGCATCGCAACCGGGCCACTTGCAGACTCCCCGGCCGAATAGGGGATGTTCCTCCACTTCGCCACCCCATAGCATCAAACCTTTGGAGGAATAATAAATGTCGTCTTATTGATGATTGCATAATGTTAGGTTTCAAACACTCTTTTCCTAAATTATTTAATTTACAAATCTTTTAGAAACTGTACAGTTTTCGGTGCTGTTTCATTTGTGATGTGCTATGATCCACTATTATTATATGTATTTCTATCCGTTGCCCTCGTATCCTTTAACACAAGCCTTACAGTACTTACATTGGGACTTAGCTTAGTCCCAACGTAAGAACTGTAAGGCTTGTGTTCGGTATGAGCGTCAGAATTATTGTTTTTTTATTAGTATCATTCATTAAAAGATCTGGTCTGAACAAAGGTTCGTATAGTTTCTGCACAATTTTATATTTCTTAAGAAAATATAACTAGAATTTATATTTCTTTTCTAGCATTTTTATGAAATGTGAGATGTTGATGCAAGAGTCTTTAATACTACCCTTAAACGTAAAAATATATCGGTGCTTTTAAAGTGCAACGCAATAGTAACAATTTGTTAAAATCAGGCGGAACTTCAGTAACGGTTGTTTCGTTGTAGATTATATGTTTCCTTGTTATTTGTTTGGTTGTCTATAAGCACGAAGCGATATTTGCTGACTACGAAAATTAAATATTTGGACAAGTTTTTGCGACAACTGTTGGAATATTTTAAAGCGGCACGTGTAACGTAATTTTTGTTTAAATGCTGAATGTAAGAGGAGGCCAGACAAGAAAGTTTGGGTAGTAGATGTAGGTGCGTTATGCATGGTGCATCACCTATCATAATCATCTTTCCTCTCGCTTTCCTAATTATCGTACTCGTCAAACTCCACTTTCTTCACTTACCAATGCACCGTATTGCAAAAATTGGGAACCATTCTATCCTAACGTGATCCCCCCCCCCCCCCCCCCCAATCATATAAATAAATAACAAGTACCCTTGTATTATTTTTTGGTATATTTATTGTGTATTCTATAATACTTATTTTATGTATATTACTAACTAGCGGCCAGCCCTCGCTTCGCTTCGGTGTAGAGCTGAAGTGTAGACTACAGTTTTTGTTCTCAGGCTTGTATTATACACAATGATATTCATCTATGATTCTTCTTATACCAAAGCATGCAAAGTCTCAGCCCGATCGGTTTAAAATTGACAAAGTTTCATACAAACTTTCATTCCCTATTTTATCCCCTCGGGGGTAGAATTGATCAAAATCCTTTCTTAGCGGATGCCTACGTCATAACATCTACCTGCATGCCAAATTTCAGCCCGATCCATCCAGTGGTTTGGGCTGTGCGTTGATGGATCAGTATGTCAGTCAGACAGTCACCTTTGAGTTTTATACATATATATAGATTGCATTTTGGTTGATCGCAGATCTACACATGAATGTTTAATAAACTCGTATCCAATTAGTGGCTCTTTTTTGGTAAAATCAGTAGTTTTCATTCCTTTCGCCCCCTTTGTTTTATCACTTAACATTGTATTGAAGCCTATTTCATCTTTGATGTTTTCATTATGTGTTCTTTTTGGTAGCTTATGTTCATTTATGTTATTCCAGCTGTACACTTTTCTGCTGGCCTCTGGCTGTTTAATGTGCCTTTTTAAATAAATAAATAAATCTTCCTGGACATCAAGGTGTTTCTTTATGTCTGCTTTACGTAGATTATAACAATTTACACAAGAAGAAAACTACATTTTTATTTTGTGGAACGATATCTTTGCATCTGTTTATTCAACGAATTAAATAAAACGTAATCTTTTATGGCAGTGATATTTTACATTAGAAATTACACCCGTATTTATTTGCTGTGTAAATGTGTTTTCATACACTTACACAATAAAAAAAAACAAGAAAAGCTGATATCTTCTTTTGTCTAATAAATAGAGCTCTGAATTGTTTGCAGCGTTTTTGTTGAATTATGACAACTTTTTTTTTATTTCATTTCGCGTTTCTTGATGGATATTGACTTGGGTGTATTGTACACAGATATTTACTGCTTGAGCGCGCTCCGTGGCAGCCTACATTGTTACTTTACTCTAAGAATAATCCACCATTCCGTACTATAATATTATAAATGCGAAAGTTTGTCTATCTGTTGCCTCTTCACGCTTAAGTCACTGAACCGATTTAGATGAAATTTGGTTTAGACATAGGTAATGAAACCCAGAAATCTCTTAACGTTTTGCTTATAACAAAATCATCCTTTTGAAGGGGTGAAAAGGGGGATGGCAGTTTGTATGGTAAATCAAATCAAGGACGCAGATAAACGCGTAAACAGAGAATAAAATTTTGTAAGAAAACATACTTGGTGGAGCGTTAGGTGGCACAGACAATGGGCCGTGCATCAGGTACTGTCGCTGTACTGCTTGGAGTTGTTGCACTAACTGCTGCTGCTGAGCTCCAAGTTGTTGCTGCAAGGAACCTAATAAGAGGACAAATAGTTGAGTTATTACAAAGTAACAGTGGTGATACAGATTTAAAAATAAACTAAGTAATAGCTAAAGTTCCTAAAATAATATATTATTTAAAAGCACAAAATGGATTAAAACTACTAAATAAATTAAATACTTATCTATACTACTTATAATAAATCTGTAGAGATATCAATTCTGTAAATGAAATATATTTTTAAAATAACTATCAGGGGGTCATTAGTGATCGATACTGATGCCAAAAATGCAATCAGTAAAATTTTTGTCTGTCTGTCTGTCTGTATGTTCCTTATAGAAACAAAAACTACTCAACGGATTTTAACGAAACTTGGTACAATTATTCTTCATACTCCTGGGCAGGTTATAGTATACTTTTCATCACGCTACAATCAATAGCAGCAGAGTAGTAAAGGGAAATGTTGGGAAAACGGGAGAAGTTACTCCATTTTTTAAGCTTCCGTCGCGGGTGCAGCCTTAATGGTTAAAGTTACATAGAAATCATGTATGACGGAAATATTCTACATAAAATTGGCTAAAAAATATCCCGCAACAGCATATGTCTATCTTTTATGGTTGACTCACAATAACACGTGTAATTATATAAATAAAGTCATTCTTTATAGCACAAGCCTGAGAACAAAAACTATAGTTTACACTACAGCTCTACACTGAAGCGAAGCGAGGGCGGGCCACTAGTTTGATACTAAAAATAAAACTATATTATATAAAAAATCGACTCCTAATCGCTGCGCTCGAAGGTAGGGTGCCCAAGAGGCTGGCGGCATTTCCCCGTTGAATGGCCGGGCTCAACGTTTGTCCGAAATGCGCGCCAGCTCTTGGATCCCCTGAGGCGTCGATAAGGCGTGTGGAAATCTCAATAGTTGAGTTACATTTTCTTGTGAAGAAAATATTTTGCTTATTACGTCATCTCCGAATCATCATCATCGTCAGACTATTACGCCTGTATTATAGAAAGATATGAGGAGCTCGATGGCGCAAGTGGTTAGCTGCGATCGTTGAACGTAAGCGACGTTCGCAGTGGTCGGTCATTGGATGGGTGACCAAAAATTACTATCACGAGCTCCTCCGTGCTTCGGAAGGCACGTTAAGCCGTTGGTCCCGGCTGCATCTGCAGTCGTTAGCACCCGCCAATCCGCACTGGGCCCGCGTGGTGGGTCATGGCCCAATCTCCCTATTCCATCCATAGGGAAGGCCTGTGCCCCAGCAGTGGGGACATTAATAGGCTGATGATGATAATGATGATGATAGAAAGATTCTCAGTGATTTATCTAGTCTTGAGCATAGTTAGAAAGGGATGTCGCTATATATAGCACATAGCGATATCCTTTACTAACTGTACTCAAGTAAAGATCGACACTTAGTTTTCATTCTGTAATACGGACCTTAATGTCCCCATTGCGGGGGCACAGCTTTCCCTATGGATGGAATAGGGAGGTTAGGCCATGGCCCACGACGCGGACCCAGTGATGCAGCCGGGTCCAACTGCTTAACGTGCCTTCCGAAGCACGGAGGAGCACGATATAGTAAATTTTTCGTCACCTATTCAATGACCGACCTTAGCGAAAGTTGCTTAATTTTAACTATCGCTGTGAAACGCGCTAACCACTTGAGCCATTCATCAAGGTATATACAATATAGTTTAGAGAATTTCTACAAAGATGCTCACAGTTTAAGTGATAAACAAATTACGACAATAATGGTCTTAATCTGGACAACTTAAGCAACTTTCGCAATGGTCGGTCATTGGATGGGTGACCAAAAATTACTATCTCGAGTTCCTCCGTCCTTCGGAAGGCACGTTAAGCCATTGGTCCCGGCTGCATCTGCAGTCGTTAGCACCCACCAATCCGCACTGGGCCCGCGTGGTGGGTCATGGCCCAATCTCCCTATTCCATCCATAGGGAAGGCCTGTGCCCCAGCAGTGGGGACATTAATAGGCTGATGATGCTGATGATGATGAATGGCTCTGGTAGAGAAAAAGCTGTGCTTATCTCTTATCTATTAGACAAGTCCGTCTGTCTGTGGTGCTGTTTCAGCGGCCAAACCGTAAGAGATAGATAAAGAGAATATTTAAGTTATAAGAATAGTCTGATAAGACTACAAACCGGATTTGAGTAACGTAGCACTTCCGGTTTTCGAGAAATCAGGTTTTGGTGAACATTTGGTTCACTGGTTTGCTAGTTCTAATATAATATTGGAATATTTACCTGGCGATGTATCGGGTGGAGGGAGATGGGATTGTGACAGCAAGTTTAGGTTGATCTGGTCCTGAAGGCGAGACTGCTCCAGTTGTCGCTTAGCCGCCTCCGAAGACATGTGCTGAAAATAATATCGCATGTCAAAAAAATTCAATGACGCGCCTAATAATTGACCAAAATCTCGGGATTTAATATTATAAAGGCGGAAGTTTGTGAGTGTGTGTGTGTATATTTGTTGCTTCTTCACGCCTAAACTGTTGGAGAGATTTTAATAAAATTTGGTATGCAGTTAGCTGACACCCTGGATTAACACATAGGCTACGTTTTACTGCGGGAAAATATCCCTAATAAACCGCGGGTAATACCGCGAGGCATAGCTAGTATATCATAAATGTCAAAGTTTGTGTAGGAAGGCCAAAGTGGAACATCTTCCTCCGAGCTGGGTGATGTTAGCTCGGGGGCCGCGGCCCGACTGATATTAGTCGGGCATCGTATATATGAAGAGTTATCCTCCGAATTTCATTAGCGCGATGTAGGCTTCCATACTATTAAGATCGCAGTGCAGGTAACGCCATCTCTTGAGGATGGTGAGTAATGATTTCCTCCATCCGTTGTATATATGTGGGGCATATAGATGTCGCCGCCACAGTTTGTATATTTAGTGTAGGCGACTGACCAACCTTCTGCGTAAGTTTTTAGTTTAAATGGATTTTCTTTACGCACGTTCGATTTTCTAAAGGAAGGGACGCACCGATTGCCGCTGCTGCGAATAAATTAGATTTGATTTTGATTTTAGACGAGTTCTGGAGTGGAGACCGCGTCTAGGCAAACGTAGTGTAGGACGTCCTCAGGCGCGATGGAGTGACGATTTGCGCAAGGTGGCTGGCAGGAGCTGGATGCGAGTAGTCCAAGATCGATCTGAGTGGCGTGCATTTGGAGAGGCCTATGTCCAATAGTGGACTAAGATAGGCTGTTGATGATAATGATGATTTTGTTTTGCATATTATTTAAGTATTTTGAGTTGTTGTTATAGTTTTTCATTGATAAATATTAAAAGTATGTTTGTTACTCAATCACGCAATAATAACTGAATTTTAGTCTTATTACCTGGATAGATACACGGTTTGTTATGGTTTCATTGCTACTAACATAATAGTTATTATATCTCTCAGGAACCTAATATTTTTGACAACAGACAATGATGCTTGGATAAATTGATATTATACTAGCTGTCCCAGCGAACTTCGTACCGCCATAAAAAATAGGAGTTGGTGGTAGAAGGGTAAAAATTTAGGGTTAAATGTATTTTTGTATGATGTATCATAAAAAAAACAAAAAAAAATATTTAAGGGTTAACATTAACATTTATGGGGATGATAAAAAGATGTTGTCCGACTCTCAGAACTACTGAATATGCATATAAAATTTCACGAAAATCGGTCGAAACGTTTCGGAGCAGTTCTATTACGCACACCGTGACACGAGAATTTTATATATTACATTTATTAGCGGGATTGCTACTATGTGCGTTATTTTTGTCAAGAGTCCCCGTTATTTCGTCAATATTGCAAGCGTCATGACTGGTTACTCCGTGATCATGGCGCTTGCAACAGTGCCGAAATATTGGAGACTTACAAAAAACTGCCTACATTGCAAGAATCCCAGTAAAGGTATAATATAAAGAGATACAAAGGATCATTATTATTATTTAAAAATATTAGATTCCCGAGAAAATCCCAAAAACTAACGCAGACGAAGTCGCGCGCAGCCACTAGTCTACTAATATTTTCAAGAACGTCGACTGTATTTTATTAAATATCGAAGAGTTTGTTAACTATAAACTTTATAGGCACTCATTTCATCCAGACGAATGGCAACCTCGTAAATTTTCTTCATTTGAGCAATATTTGAAGCTCTTTTAATTAAAACTTTGATAACTTCGTTTTTAATTATAGTATCTGTCGGTGCTACGACATCGTCAGGTATTTTATTATATAAATTAGTACCATGACCTCTGAGAGCTGTTTTTATTAGCTTTAAAAGGGTCACTTAAAATAAACGTACAATTTTATATTACTCGTATATTATTTTTAGTTGGAAGAAAACTTCCGTGTATTTACAATAAAACACGATGTGGTGACGATGTGGTGCTGTGTGTTGGTCCAGTAGGCAAATCGTCAGTAAGTTTTACGGTTTCACGGGTAGAGATGAATGTTTGATTAAGTAAAAAGGTATTGAATGACATAAACAGTAAAAACAATGTAGTTCTTTGCTCTCAAAGATTCCATATAATATGCAAAACAAAATCAAATCCAATTTATTCGAAGCAGCCAGCAATCTCCAGCTCTCTAGCTGGAGATAGTACTAGGTTACAAATCCTGTGTTACGACCCCCAGGCGCTAATCCTCTTAAAGATCGAGATATTATTGAAATGCGTATTCGACTCAAACCATGTGCTGTTGGCCGTTGCTTCATAAGCGCTTGCAGCTGCGTGTATTGGTCCAACAACAGTTGCATCGCCAGTTAGTCTGATGCGAGCACGATTGTACCTATCTATAGAATGTGTTGGCCTCAAACCTATTTCTGCATATGGTGCTGGTGGCACAGGTGTTGTTTCGAGCTTGCAGCTGCTTGTGTTGGTCCAACAGTTGCATCGCCATCAGGCCTCTTGCTACCAGGGGTAGTGAGGAACAGTTCTCTCTAGTGTCTAGTTGTTGAATGCGTGTTTTAGTTTCTACTTATTTAATATCGACTGTGTATTGGAATTAAACCTGTTTATATATATGGTGCTGGTAAAACAGGCGCTGCTTTATAAGAGCTTGCAGCTGCGTGTGTTGGTCCAACAGTTGCATCGCCAGCAGGTCTAGTGTTACCAGGGGTACCGAGGAATAGTTCTCTCTAGTGTCTAGTTGTTGAATGCGTATTTTAGTATCGACTGTGTATTGGAATCAAACCTGTTTCTGCATATGGTGCTGGTGGAATAGGCGCTGCTTCATAAGAGCTTGCAGCTGCGTGTGTTGGTCCAACAGTTGCATCGCCAGCAGGTCTGGCGCGACCAGTGGAAGGGGAGAGCGAGGGGGTGCCGCCCCCCCACTGCCCGCCGGGGACACAGGTGCTGGGCTGGAGTGGGCAGACCCTCCCGTGGGAGAAGTTGGGGCTGATGCCTGGTGAATTGGAAACGTTTATGTAGATGATGTTTATATCTTCTCTTATATTTTTACGCACACTATTAATATTGTATAATATTTAAATTTATTCTGATCACAAATCTCCGTATTTGCAGTTACAATAGGTTAAGTGACTCAGTATCCGGACAAGCCCAATGTGGGTTTTCGTAGTACTTTTTATTAAGTACTGTATTATATTTATTAAAAAAAAATGAAAATATCTTACGACGGAGCCGACGAACGATGTATAATGAAAAATGTAAAGTAATCACCCTACTTGACTGGGTATTGATAAAAAAGACACTTCTGCTGCTTAGTGAATAGATCAATAAAAACTTTATTTTCTTTTTATAAGGAGATATCGATGCTGGTGCCAGGTACAACTACGGCTCGCTCTCTTTCGTTCCTCACACTTATCTGCGACAGTTTTACTTGACTGTTGGTAAAGAAACGCGAAGTTCATTCTCTATGTCTATGAATACCACCTAACCGACTCCTTCGATTGGTACATGGTGAAGCACCACGTTCCGTAATGTCGAGGTCCGGCCGATCTATTCGTGTACCGCGCCGATATACTTAACTTATCTATGAAAACGTCTTTGAAAGACAGATGTCTTAATATTAGAAAAATAATCTTTTTGCCGTTAAAAATTACTGTTAGAGAATATGTTGATTTTGTTAAGAAAACGCTGTTTGTTTGTGAATTATAAAACATTAAAGTGATTAAGAAGAATAGCGTGTTTTTTGTGTCATCAACGACTTTACGACATTCACGTTATAATGGTTAAAAAAGGGACAAACGTACCCGTGCGAGCGAGAGGGGCTCATGTTCGCGGGCGGGTGAGGCGCGGCGCGGGGGCGAGCTGCGCCGGCGCCGCCGCGCCGCTTCGCCGCCCCACCTGCCGGACTCCTCTCTGAAACAGAAGCAAGAAATATACCAGCCGTACACAACATCACCATCATCATCAGCGTATTAACGTCCTCACTGCAAAGGCACAGGCCTTTCCTGTGGCTGGATAAGGGAAACTAGGCCATGGTGGGGAACGACTGCAGATGCAGCCGTGACCAATGGCTTAACGTGCCTTCCGAAGCACGGAAGAGCTCGAGATTATAAGAGTAAGGAGGAGATCGCAGGCCGAATACGCTAACCATCTGTGTCATCGAGCTCCACACAACATCGCCATCAGGCTATTTATGTCACCAGCACCAATGTTGGGGCAGAACCGAAATCAGTGTTACCAAAACGACAACATTGGATAACGGAAGACACTTGGCATATGGTTGAAGAGCGCCGAAACCTTAAAGCCAGTGGAGCTAGCATTACGATGCTAAATGCTAAGTCAGCTATCATACAATCCGCTTGCCGACGTGACCGCAATAACCATCTGAGTAAGATATGGATGAACTGGAACAGCACTCCGATAAATATCAAACCAAAGATCTGCATGATAAGGTGCGATACATAACACGCCAATTTAAACCTAAGACGTGGGCTATTGAAGACTCCGCCGGAACAACGGTTACGGAGATTAAGGATATTGTGAATGTGTGGAAGGAATATTGCCAATCATTATTTTCCAGCAATTTGACACCAAGTTTCACATGTCCTACCCACAAAATACGTGACCGTAAACTAGACATCATGCAGATGAAGTACGAGCAGCAATTAAACACCTCAAATGCAATAAAGAAATAGGTTGTGGTGGAATCCCGATCGAAGTCCTCAAGGCAATGAGTGAATCTGGTCTTACATACCATCTGCAGTAAAATATGGGAGACTGGAATATGGCCTGATGACTGGTCGAAATCCATTTTTATTCCATCCAAAAAAAAGGGTCTACCAAGAAACGTAACAACTACCGACTCATATCCTTGATATTATCTCATGCAAGTAACGAGATTTAATTTCGGTAAAGTATTGGTATTTAGATTTTCTCTATGATATTCAATATTTCGCATTATACTGGGCGCGTTGAGACAAACGATTCAAAAATGCAGAAAATCAGTGTCATGATACGTAAACGTCGAGTGTGACTTAACTCGCATGATCATCATCATCATCATATCAGCTGTACGACGCCCACTGCTGAGCATAGGCCAAGCGCAACCATCGGCTACTCGCGATCTTCACCAGGAGCTCTATTTTTGAATCGCTCGTCTGACATAGTATCGTCGAATGCGACATAAGCCACCTTCGACTTTCAAGTCGCATGATACTGATTTTCCGTATTTTTGAATCGTTCGTCACCGATGTTACCAGTTTAATAGGAAATATAAAATTTTATTAATTTCACGCAGACTAAATAAAAATCGGTAATTACTACAATTAAAACGGAACGAAAAATTATTTTGTTGTTTATATTACCGGCACTTCACTTAGCTGTTCGTGATTGCTGTTTGTAAACTTGACATGCATTAGCCGTCATGCCATAATAAAAGAAGAAGAAACTTGACGTCACTTTGCCTTTGTCGTTTCATATAAAGCATGACAAGGATAGATTATCATCGTCTAATAGCAAAATGAATAGCAAAGTAAAGTGCCGGCGTTTGAAAAATTCAAACGTTACAACACTCATTTCAAAACAGTTTCTAATAGTTTAATTTACTCAGTGGCTAAATACAATCACACAAGAAATCTTAATAAGTATACCTTTGACACTAACGTGACGTCTGACACAAATTTGACAATTATTCTATCATTCGCCTCCACCATTCGCCATGCAACGAGTGGTCTCACCCATTCGTTTCAAAAATACAGATTTAATTATGTCGAATGAAAATTAGTAGAATTAGAGCGTTCGACGCAAGGCGAGTGATTCAAAAATAGAGCTCCAGATCGTCGTCCGGTGCGTGGTCGCCATAATGAACGCGCGATTAATTCGCATACAAAGATGCGATTTCAAACGAACAATTCAAAAATAGATCTCCATGTTTTTTGTTCAGATTTTACAAACTTGTAATTTTTTTAAACACTTACCGGTCCAGACAGCGGTCCAGCTCGAATGCGTTGAGTAGCGGTGGTTTCGCGGCACCACCCGGGTTCGAGTTCAATGCTGGCTCAGGACCCTGCAACAGAGAATATACCATCAGCATGCTGATAAACAGGGTTCCGTAGTCCTGAAAAGGAACCCTTATAGTTTCGTCATGTCCGTCTGTCTGTCCATCCCCGGTTTTGCTTGAAGACTGTTAGCACTAGACAGCTGTAATTTTGTGGAGATATTATCAATCATGCCGTCAAAATGGTAGAATAAAATTCAGTAAATATTTTTTTAGGGTAGCTTATAACGTAGCCTGTAACCTGTAGATGATTTTATATTTTCATCGTCTACCCCATCGTGTGGGGTATCGTTGAATAGATTCTTTATAATTACTTCAGGGTTTCACTCAGACTATTTTTCGAATAGGCTAGTTGACTCATGTCAAATTGCACTATACAAATGTTTATTTCTGATAATTTTTGGTATGAGGAACCTAAATACATCGATTTCACTTCATAAAATTAGAAGATGGCTGTAGTCATTTAATTTGTAGTATATAGTTTTTTAGTCTATAGTAAATAGTTTCTTAGTCTATGCTTTTTAAACACTAAAAACGCTGTCCACCATGATTGTGACGTCAACATAATAAGCAAAACAACTAAACGTCATTGTCGTGTTACTGTGGTTTCTTTCGTCCGAATAAAATATATCTAAAAACTCTTATATCTTGAAGAGAAGTTTCCGTTTATTGGTTTTCTTGACTAAATTAATGCTGGATGCCGGATTTGTGAAAGCAGAAACGACAAAACTCTTTGACTTAGCAGGTACATTCATAACCTTAAAAATTGAAACCACAACATTTCTGGAGTTTTTAACGATGTGTTTCTTTATTCTCGTATAATACAATCATGATAATTACTATATTTATCATGAAATCTATAAGAAATCATGGTTTTGTAATGTAAATTCAGATAGGTTATATCCTACGTGCTTGCGAGTTTTTGTTTACTGTTGTTCCCGTCATACCATAGATAATCTATAGGCTAAAATGGCCGACAGCGTTTTTGTATGTCCATGAAAAATCTATTATAAGCTAGTTAGCTAGCTAGTAGCTTTCTAGGTAAAAAAAAATACAATACTTTTAAAACATATTTCCAAAAAGTGTCAACTAGCCTATTAGGGATCCGTTTGAGAAATATTGAACTTCAAAGTACTAAAGAAAATATAACTAGAAAAAAATCCACGCGGACCAGGCAGCAGACGGGACTCGAACCCGCACCCTTCGCAATTAAATTTAAAGTACTAATTTTTGTTCGTGTAGGGCGTCCCCCCCTTAAAAGCTAAACTATAAGCTAAAACAAAACAGGAAAAAAATCATGATAATAGTGCTTTTCATTTTTTTTTCAAATAGATATAAGTATAAGGTGAAAGCAGAGCTCGAGATCCTAGAGCCAAGCTTACCCGACATTATACCGAGGATATCCCGGACGTCAGCCTGTACGAGATTAGAATTGCCCTCAAACAGCTTAAAAACAACAAGGCGGCGGGAGATGACGGAATCACAACAGAGCTTCTGAGAGCGGGCGGTACGCCGGTACTTAAAGTCCTCCAGAAGCTCTTCAACTCCGTCATCCACCAAGGCAAAACGCCGAAGGCATGGAGCAGAAGCGAGGTGATTTTGTTCTTCAAAAAGGGCGATAAGACCCTACTGAAGAACTACAGACCCATCTCGCTTCTGAGCCATATCTACAAGCTGTTTTCGAGGGTCATTACGAATCGTCTCGCTCGCAGGCTCGACGACTTCCAGCCTCCTGAACAAGCCGGTTTCCGAAAAGGCTTTAGTACCATAGACCACATCCATACGCTGCGGCAGATTATACAGAAGACCGAAGAGTATAATCGGCCACTTTGCTTAGCGTTTGTGGACTATGAGAAGGCCTTCGATTCGATCGAGACCTGGGCGGTGCTGCAGTCTCTCCAGAGGTGCCAAGTGGACTACAGGTATATCGAAGTGTTAAAGTACCTATACCAAAACGCCACTATGTCGGTCCGAGTACAGAATCAGAGCTCTAATCCTATCCAACTACAGCGAGGGGTGAGACAGGGAGACGTTATATCTCCGAAACTGTTCACTGCTGCGATGGAGGATATTTTCAAGCTTCTGGACTGGAAAGGACTCGGCATTAACATCAACGGCGAGTACCTGACACACCTTCGATTTGCTGATGACGTAGTCCTAATGGCGGAGACCTTGGAAGACCTGAACACCATGCTCGAGCAGCTCAGTGACGCATCCCAGCGAGTGGGTCTTAAGATGAACATGGGCAAGACGAAAATCATGTCCAACGCCCATGTTGCACCCGCTCCAGTTAATGTTGGGAACGTTACACTTGAAGTTGTTGACCACTACGTTTACCTAGGACACACAATCCAGTTAGGTAAGTCCAACTTCGAGAAAGAGATCTCTCGTCGAATTCAACTCGGATGGGCAGCGTTCGGGAAGCTGCGGAACATCTTCGCGTCCAAAATACCTCAGTGCCTTAAGACGAAAGTCTTTAACCAGTGTGTGTTGCCAGTGATGACCTATGGCAGTGAGGCGTGGTCGTTTACTATGGGTCTCATAGGACGGCTCAAGGTCGCCCAGCGGGCAATGGAGAGAGCTATGCTTGGTGTTTCCCTGCGTGATAGAGTCAGAAATGACGAGATCCGTAGGAGAACTAAAGTCACCGACATAGCTCGAAGAATAGCCCAGCTGAAGTGGCAGTGGGCGGGACACATAGCGAGGAGAACCGATGGCCGTTGGGGCGGAAAGGTTCTCGAATGGCGACCGCGTGCCGGACGACGCTCAGTGGGAAGGCCCGCTACAAGGTGGACCGACGATCTGGTGAAGGTCGCGGGAAAACGCTGGATGCGGGCAGCGCAGGACCGACCGTTGTGGAGATCCTTGGGGGAGGCCTATGTCCAGCAGTGGGCGTCGTACGGCTGATATGATGATAAGTATAAGAGTAATAGTCGTTCAACTTATTTATTAGAAAATTTCCGACTTAACAAAAATTCCTTAGAAGAAAACATTAAAAGTGATTTTGACGAAGTAATTACGTAAAATATAGACTCTTTCCTAAATATATCCGGCTGCATCTGCAGTCGTTAGCACCCACCAATCCGCACTGGACCGGCGTCGTGGGTCATGGCCAATCTCCCTATTCGATCCATAAGGAAGGCCTGTGCCCCAGCAGTGGGGATATTAATAGACTGGTGATGATGATTCATTGGGAAAAATGTTTGTATAAAAAACTAATTATTTTCGAAACAATATCTTTTTCACAAAAACAAAGTCCCAGACGCTAAGCAATTGCACGCTTTTTATAATAAATACAGGCATACGTATTTATTATAAAAAGCGTGCAACATTATAATAATACGGGCATACAAGAGTAACCTAAATGAGTTCAGAAATATTCCATAAGGTCAATCTAGCGAATTTGAATGCAATGTTTTCGAAGAAATTTCCGTGCGATACCTTGGTAGTCAACAAAAATTAAAACTATATGGACGTCTTGTTCAACATTGTTTCAAGTTGCAAATAAAACTCAGCTGACCAACTAACAAATAGGTCAATCATACCCACTACAGTCACCATGAGTTTAATTTTTTTTTATTTTTTTTATTATTTTAAAGCATGTAACTGCTTGATGTTTAAATCTAAAGAAAATGTAACTAGAAAAAAGAATGAAAAGAACGAAGAGATGGCGCTGCCTTGCAGCTTAAGAATGGCTAGTAGAATTTCGACGCGGTCCGTGAGGGCCGCGGTAGCATAATTGGTCAGTGCATTCGCCCGGATTGCGAAGGGTGCGGGTTCGAGTCCCGTCTGCTGCCTGGTCCGCGTGGAATTTTTTATAGTTACATTTTCTTTAGAATTAAATAATTTGTTTAAGTGGTACACAATTTATTTTTTATTCTCATTTCCTACTAAGGATATTTCCTTCCTCTGTTAAAAGGAATATCGCACTGAAATATTTTATGGGTGTACACCATAATCATAGAATCCTGCGCAGTAGCAATTTTACATACAAAAACATCAACAAATGTATTTTGAGCAAATGTGTTGAAAAATTAATTAATACAATATAATATCATTTTAATAAAAAAATTACAATATTTAAGAACGCATTCGAAAATTATATTCAGTTAAACAAAAATATTTTGATGGTTTATTTTTTTTTGGTTTTTTTATGTTTTATTTTAGGAAAAAACAAGTTAAGCACATGAATTTTCTAAACAATGTTGGAAACTTAAGAAACTGAACTCCGATTGTTTTTTTTTTTGTAAAATACGTGATACGTAGATCTTTCGTCACTATATCAACTCGAGTCGTTCAGTATTAATTGCATGAAACTCTCTACTGCAACACACGCTAATCGAATCTTAGCTCGTGTTTCTTTGTGCGGCAATAACTTTATGATTCCGATTATTAAGCCAACCACTAAATAAGAACAAAACACAAACGCCCAGATTCAAGTCAAAGCGGAGAAGTTTTTCTAACCCCGACCGGGGATAAAGCAGAGAAGTTTTTCTATATTCAACCGACCGGCGATAAAATCCAAGACATCGAAAACTACTGCTGTTCTGTCCTCTTACAAACGGGAGGTTTTCAACTCATCCCTTTTTAAAGTTCTGTACCTCGAAAGGAAAAAAAAGGAGAAAACCCCTTATATAACATCACTTTGTTGTTAGTCCGTCTTTAAATAAATAAATATTTCAAACTCACACCATTTAGCCCAGCCTCAAAGGAAGCACTGTAAGGCTTGTGTTATGGGATACTAGAGTAACGGATAGAATACATATATAAGTATATTTTTATACAAATATATATTAAACATCCATGGCTGGAGTCCAAATGCTCGTATTCATCACACAAATATCTGTCCCCACCGGAATTCGAACCCGGGACCCCTCGAGTCGCCAACACCATGAAACCCGGCGCACAAACCACTCGACCACGGAGGTCGTCGTCTTTATTCCAGGACCTCGTGGAGGTACAGAGTTGAAATTAAGACCTCAAATCTATGGTCTCTAGAAATTACGAAA